TCCTCTGAAAGTAGGAACTTGGATATACCATGAATAGGATTCTCAAGACTCCCAGCTGATACTGAGTCATTAGGATTGGCCATTACTAAACAAGATCACTCAGTGCAGTGATCCCTGTCCTGGGAGCTTTCCAAACTGGGCTATTCAGTAACCATAAATCATCTAGAGTGGGCTGAACAGTGTTTGAGGTCACCAGGATCAGCCATTAGAGAATGCACACAAACATGAAATCTGCTCTCTAAAATCTACAATGACTTCATAGATCTAGAAAGCACAGCAACAAACTGTCATTCATGACTGCGTACTTGCAGAATCTCTTAGACCCATGTCTCTTTAAGCAGCCCTTCTTTTTCTTTTAAAAACCTCTGGAGCAAGAGACTGTGCAGCTTCCAGGACACATACACAGTAGTTCTTACAGTTAAGAAGCATTAATGGTAACTAGCCTAAATATGTTACGCTTAAAGCGGCTTGTCATTGGAGAATATGTGATGCTTTCCTTGGGAAAATTTTTGGCTGGCAGAAGAGACTGTAAGAGCTCACACAAAAGCCACTTAAGAACGTAAGGGAACATAAGAGAAGCCAATGTTGGATCAGGCCAATGGCCCATCCAGTCCAACACTCTGTCACACAGTGGCCAAAAATACCAGGTGCCATCAGGAGGTCCAGCAGTGGGGCCAGGACACCAGAAGCCCTCCCACTGTTTCCCCCACAAGCACCAAGAATACAGAGCATCCTTTGCCCCAGACTGAGAGTTCCTAACTATACCTTGTGGCTAATAGCCACTGATGGACCTCTGCTCCATGTTTATCTAATTTCCTCTTGAAGCCATCCCTGCTTGTAGCCGCTGCCACCTCCTGTGGCAGTGAATTCTATGTGTTAATCACTCTTTGGGTGAAGAAGTACTTCCTTTTATCTGTTCTAATCCGACTGCTTAGCAATTTCATTGAGTGCCCACAAGTTCTTCTTACAGTGTCACCTCCCAGTGTTTTATCCAACTGGACCATTGCTCAAATAATGGTTTAAACAAACCTAATGGTTCACTCTTACTTTACTAACAGCACTCTCAAAAGCTGTTGCTCCATAAGAACTACCAACTTGTTCTCAGTTGCAGGGATGCTTTTAGCAATGGGATATGCTCAGATTCGACTTTGGGGGATGGGTGGTCCCCTACCCATCAAACTAATCCGAGTAGGGGCCTACTTGTGTTCCTTTCCAGGATTCTGTTTAAAAGGACCAGCTTTGCCTTTCTAAGGTCCTGCAGGAAATTCCCCACCCAGTATTCTGTGTCTTTAGTTGTGTTGTTCCTGCTTTTTGACAACTTTGCTGGCTAGTCTCACTCTGTCAGTGATGCTGATATGTAATCCCACATCTTGCCAACGCTTCACCCCACCCGCCCCGATAGTCTTTCTGCATACTGTTGCATCACTACTGAAATCTGCTTTTAGACTGTCCTGTTGTGACTGAAACATGAAGCCAAGTACTTCAGTGAATTTGGTGCTAGAGTTCTACCGCCAGCTTGAAGGCTTTGTAAGTGTCTTATGTGCCAGTGCTGATATCCACTGTAGTATTCTTCTAGATCTCTTGTGCAGTATTGTATGAGCCAAGAGACTGTTCAGAATGAGTTCCATCCAAACTCTGCCGTAGTTGGTTGAAGCCAGATTGTTGCAGTTTTACTTGTAGTGGCACACATTACTGCTTACACCACTGTAGATGGAGCGGATGTGTATGGAGGTGCTGATTCTTCACCTTGGAGTCAAGCATTACATTTTCCACCTGAATTTCCATTCCTTCCCCTGAGGATCCCCATGTCTGGATGTGTGCAAGAGAAAGAGATGCTTGAAAGTGCCTTAGTTTTCTGTAAATGGGGTACTTGAAATTTTTGAAGTTCAGTTCTGGAATTCACAGTTGTTAGGGAAGCAAGTTATGTATATCTCCCAGCATGTTTTCATGAGTGTCCAGACATGGAATGATCTCATCACTGGACTATGTAATGTCTGAATCAGTGTTGGGTGTCCATAGCTCTGCTGCAGCATTATTATATTACCCTCCTAAATGCTTTAGTTGCTGCTATTAAAAATAATCCTGGGTAGTGTCCACAGTATGTGGTGTGTGTAGCAATGTTTTTATCAGATTTATGGACACAGCTGGTTAACATGACTGTTTATGTGTTCAGCCTGTCCACAAAAAGGTTGTTATTCAGTTTGTAGGAAAAAAGGGAGCGTGTAATCTGCAGAAAGCCAAAAGGTGTCATGTCACCACAAAACTGTGGCGTAGCTCTCAATCAATTACATGTCTTTCATAGACTTTTGGGCAACTTTCCAACATTAACAGTTTCAGCCTGGCCAGTGCCAAAAGGAAGTGCAATTAGAAAACATATGACTTTGTGTTTTAAAGGACTGCAAAAGGAAGATTGTGTCAGTCTAGGCATCGTTCTGCCGCATGGCTCTCTGCACTGGTTTAGGGGCTGGATGGCTTGCTTCCAGAATTTTGATCCTGGGATTATTTAATCAGACAACGATGTCAACGTAATTATGTACAGCAAAGGGCAGAAGAAGTATGCAAGTGGCAGGGTATGCACAGTAGGCTCAGGAGTTTTTAGATCCCAAAATATTCTGATTGAGTATAGTGCATAATTTAAAACAGTGTTGTTCGTTTTTTTTCCCTCCACTGTTTGTTCCTTGTCAAAATGCGATCCCCTGGGTTATCTTTTATTGTGATTATGGCTGTTCCTATTTAAAAAATGTTATGGTAATCTGGAGTTGCTCGGTCCATGTCAAAAATGTCATTTGCACAATCAATCCATAGAATATTAATAATTTGTAAAATTTCTTGGATATAACCCCCCTTTTTGGGGGGGTGATGAGGGTAGTATGGGGCATTCAAGATGCTCCAAGCTTTAGCTAAGTGGGGTTCTATTTTCCTGTATGTTATAGGACTATTTAGAGGCACGCATTTAATGTATAACTAGGATTTGGGTGGGAGAAGGTTCTATAAATGCATGATAATGGTCAATGTTGTGTGCCCTGTAAAAAAAGAAACACACTTCCAGAAGAGCCAGTTTGGTGGAGAGCCAGTTTGGTGTAGCAGTTAGGAACGTGGACTCTAATCTGGGAGAACCAGGTTTGATTCCCCACTCCTCCACTTGCAGGTGCTGGTGTGACCTTGGGTCAGTCATAAGTTCTTTCAGAGCTGTTCTCTCAAGGGCAGTTCTCAAGAGAGCTCTCTCAGCCCCACCTACCTCACAGGGTGTCTGTTGTGGAGAGGGGAAGAGAAAGAGATTGTAAGCTGCTCTGAGACTCCTTCGGATAGCGAAGGGCGGACTATAAATTCAGTCTCTTCTGTAAATCCAGTTGCTTCAGATGGATGTGGAGGCACTTTGCATAAAGTGAGACATGAAATTTCTCGAAACAGACTAAAAAAGAAACCTCACTTCAAGACCTGTATTAAAATGATTACTCCCAGTGAACCCGCTATTCAGTGTCTGACTGTTCTGTGATGGAACGATTTCCCAAAGCTCAACCCTC